AAAAAAAGCAAACACGCCAGACAGCCGGGTTCGGTCTCTTGCACCAATTAGCACCCCATTGCGGCCCTCATAACCGCATGAGCCCACTCTCACTCTGCCAAACACCCACATCCCTCCATGCCCCTCGACCCCGGCCCCCTCCCCCAGAAATTCATGAGCTCAAGCATCGAACATCATGACACATTCAGCAATTCTAGGTTAGCTTCCAAGCTCTCATATCTATTTATCGAAGAAGATTCTAAAGTTCTAAAGCCTTGTGGCATTGTGGCCGTGACAAACATGTGTCCATCTGCTACTGCTAGGTCCGCTAGGTCTGCTAGGTACGTGGGTTAGCCGAGGCTGGAAACCACTCGAAGCTTCATGAAGTGTCATGAAACCAGCATGGACTGGGTTTAATTAAATGGCATGTTGGTGTTGGCACTTCAGAGTTGCAGCCCAAGAACCTCGAAAATGCTCCGCTGCACCCCTCCTGGCGGGATGTCCTCGAGCGCCCTCTCTGGCAAGACATCCCCGAGCTTCTTCGGAGCCACCTGCCGCTGCTTGGCGATGAGGTCCTGCAAAGCGACCCAAAACCCCAAACTTAACTAAGCAGGGACATGACCTACGTGTTGCATTGTACCTGGGAGGGGACATCCTAGCACGGTCATTTGGCATCCAGACCACCTCTCGACTCTCTAGACTCTAAACGGGCTTGGGTTTCGACCTTGCGCCTACACTGTCCTACACCTATTCTGCACAACACAAACCGATGCAACAATGGAAAGCACACACAGAATGAGGCTTCATACCCGGCATACCCGAGACCAAGCAAAACAACTCAGATGCTGGAAATCACACGTGGCCTTGTAAGTCTTGGCAAGGAAACCAGCATCCGCGACACCATACACGTCCTTGCGCAGGAAGACGATGTAAATCCTGCGCTCATGTACAGTCGGAGTAGCTACACTTCACTACATGCACAACTGCAGAAATTTCAAACTGACCTAGCAGCACATGCCCTGGCACAACAGCACCGGGAAATGAACCGAGCACACTGACCGGACTTACTTCTGCCTTGGGCG